TAGGTTTTTGTGTTATGGGATTTTGTTTTATTAGTATCATTTCATGAACTTTTAAGGTAAACTAATCATCTTCTGAGATGTTGAAACAGTCATATTTCTTTTCAGAATTATGATAAAGAAAACGAATTAGCTTCGCTTTGGAGGCAACTTGCTGAACAGTGCCAGGTCAATGAAACCAGTATTTCTAGACAACAAGAAATTGAGCACTATAAGTGGTGAATGCTTGAATCTTTTTCAAAGTGTATTTTTAGAATTTTGGCCCTTATATTTCATTTTTGCCACTGGTCGATCCATAAAATTTGGAAAATTAAGTCCAAAATTTCATTCTTTATAATAAGGTATCCTGAGCTAATTTAACTTGGTCACAAAATTAAGATTTCTCATAATTTTCAAACTTTCTCCTGTGAAGTTACACTTTTTGGCCGATATTGAACCGTAAAAACGAAGGTCATCGAAGTATATTTTTCTATGCTTAGTTCCATTTTTTTTTTTGCTGAATTGTATACATTTTAGTATGACTGTGCAATGGCAGTCAGAGGCGAAAAGGTATCAGAAGTGGGCAGAACAGTGGCAGCAGTACCAAGTTGCTCAGGTTTGTTTGGGTATTCGAAGTTAGAAGCATTTGTCACCAGTTTAAAATGTGATATTCCATAAAATTGAGATGATTTTCAGTCACCGAACCCTCAAGATCCACTGGTAGTGCAGCTTATCTCTCAAAACAAAGAATTGGAAGAACAGTTAGAACGCGGTTGGCAAATGTACGATTCTCAAGGAGTGTCGTTAGTAGCCGCTTTAACAGAGATCGAAGAAGCAAAAACAAAAATTCGTGTTCTCGAAGGACAGATGGCTCAGACGGTTTTGGATCATTCCTACAAACAATTGAATTCCACAAAGGTTTTTTTTTTTTAAGTATAAATTTTACTATTGTTACTACCGCAATATTGGATATTATCCTTTATTACGTAAGAAAATGAACTTAAGAAAACAAGGAAGATGGAGGAAACTGAATTATCGCTCTCATTACATCGGCTTTCTTTTACATACTTAGATTTATTTCAAAGTAAAATTTTTTATATTTCTTGTTTCTGCATTACAGATAGTAAATGATGACGAAGTGGCAGTGTTGAGAAAAGAGCAAGAAGATTTGTTGGTATTACTTGCTGATCAGGATGCTAAGATACTTGAATACAGGCGAAAATTGACAGAACTGGGGCAAGCAGTTACAGATGACGAGGATACTGATGCATAGTGATCTATGTTTTGTAAATCTGCCTTTTATAGTAAGAAAAATTTCGGAAGATGAATTAATTTATTTGAGAAATATTTTCGGTATTTCTTGTAGGACTTAATGATTTCAATGACATGTCTACATTCCACATGTTTTATCTGTGATAAACAGTAAGAAGAGCTCATATAGTGAAGGTTTTGGAACTTCCCATTAATCTTGGCATTCTTTTTAAAAGTCTTCTGTTATTCCGATATGCTATATATTACTTTTAAATGAATGATCGCTTTGAATTGCATACAGCAATCATTACCAAATAACTATAATTTGATGTTTCAGGTTTTTCTATATAATAAAATTATCTTTAATATGAATGTAAAAAACAGTAACATTGACATCTTCCTAAATTTATAAGATATTTTGTTACAAGTAAGAAGCAGATCTGATGCCACTTAAAAGAAACCAATTATAAGGTAACACTGATATAACCTGAAGTATTTTGAACTGAATGAATTGCATACAGTAATTTGTGAAAAAGGATGTATTATAATACGGATGGAGAAAGGGAATATCCTTATCACGATGCATGATTTGCTTATTATTTTTATTCTTTTTATTTCCTCTTGGTGGTTCCTACCGTTAATTTTCCAGCAAATTTATTTATAGTGATCATTTTAGTGATCATCTGTCTAGGAGTTAAAATTGAAGTTGACGATAACTCTAGATGTAAGTTTCGCAGCATATTCCATAGTTCACTATTCGGAAATTCATGAGATGTCAATGCAGATTTAAGGGACATATGACACGTACAACTGCTCGTACGCTTACCAGTTAATCATTGAAATCTTTAGTAACAAAGACGGACTCACTTGTTACGATGCAGAATAAAGAATAAGAACAAAACCATTAATGTTATAATTACATGGAATGCAAAAATTCTGACTGAAATTTAAAATTCCCGATAACCCGACATTGATATACATTCTTATCCCATTAAAATAACCATATATTTCTCTCTAATTTTTTCAATTTTGGTAATTTTCATATCATTTTCAATATCCAAAATCGACAATTTCAAATCACATTAATATATCCAAAATGAACTTTCGAAAGCTGTGGCAGTAAGCCAAATGTAAGTTGTATCTTGCAATTGCATTATATAACCCTGAGATAATAATAAATAAAAATAGTATCAGGTCTAATTTTTTCGTATCTTTTTTCACTTCAAGAAAAGCCAAATTAATCGGGATACAATGGAAATCCATTTTATTACTAGAATCATTTTCAGAACAATGGCATGAAGCATGAAGTAACTATTTATTTATTTACTCGATTTCGATCCTGATGAACGTAACATTCGTTCGAGAAATTTCTTATTCGTTTTTAAACAGCTTGGCTTTTTCCTGAAATAATTCTCTCACTTATATTCAGCTGTATTTCGCGTATTTGGAATTATTGCCCGTTATGCCACTTCTAAGACATCAATGAATCAATATAAAACAAAAGTCAAAAGCTTAAGAGTTTCGTTTATTTTTAATGAATTAACTTTTTTCTTTTATTTTTTTGGACACTTCTAGATTCTTATATACTTTGACATTTTGTCGCCTGATTATTTTGGAATTAATGGTATAGCTAGCTTATTTTTAATGAATATAGTTAGGTTTTGACGTATTCTGTCATTATTCATGTTTAAATATAGTTAAATATGAGAACTTGTTGTTGTCATGTATTTTTATTGGGGTCTTCTTTTATATTCTCAGTTTTTTAAATATATTCATAATTATTTCGTTATAAATGATAGAATTTGTGGTAAAGTTTTCTATATTGACACAGGGTTGCACGGAAGACAGGTATTTATTGGGGGGAGGGGAGGGAGGTTTGTTATTATTAATTTCGTAGTAAATTGTTCAGTTTTAATTGATATATACTCAGGCTTATGGTATGTCAATTGATTATTGGCGATTTTTAGAACGATGTTTCTGTACAAAATATTTTATTTTCTGCTTTTGACACTTATTTTGAATACATTCTGGTGCATGAGTAAAATAAAACACGTCAATATAAATATTTAAACGAAACATACCAGCCCTGTGGTCCAGTTATTTCGTAGCGACGAATACCCAACATAGCATCCTTAAGAATCTCTTCTCGAGCTTTCTTTTCTAATTCAGATAGGCCACTCTTATGCGTTTCAGTATTAGACAGTTGTACTTCCGCGGTTACCATATTTATATTTTTTCTCACTTTGATAATCAGCCTATCCAGTTGACGGAGTTTAGACCGATTAGCTGTTTCATTCATTGATTAGAACTTCCTGAATTATTATTTCGCACAATACCGTTACTACCCGACAATCACTGTTTAAAGTCTCAGAATCTTGTTTAAAATCTCAAAATTCCTATTCATTTACTTACTTTTTGTGTCCCACTGCTGGATCCTATAGTGTCCCAAAATAAACTAATTCCCAATATGTTCCACTATCACCGATCACATAAAACCCATTCCGAACTGAGACAAACTGCTCGTGCATGATACAAGTTAGACCTAACTTTCTGCCATTTCTACAGAGCAATAAACTATGAAACACCAGGTCATAAAACCTTTATTAAAAACTGATTAGAATTACAGAGGGCACAAAATGACGTGAAAGACAATTCCAAAAAAAGGTGGGACAAGGAATTAAGGGCATGAATTCATAGTTCCAGTTAGGGAGCGTCCACAATATTTTCTGCTTCATAGGTGCTTACAGTAAATAAAAAACACGACAGTATAACATTTCTCTAATTTTTGCACATAATGTTCTACAGGAAATAATAATTACATTATAAAATCACATAGTGCAAAGAACACTTTGCACATACTCCTCATAAAAGAAAAATTTCGGCAAAAAAATGAATCGTAATCGCCAAGTAGATACATATACATTATGTTTCAATAATTTCATGAAAAACACGCATATTACAAGTGATAAAAAAAACTATCACAACCATGCTAATTTTAAAGAAAAGGGATAAACATGTGACACACTACTGATATACAACACGGAACATGAATAGCCACAGCCAAAAGACAGATGGTAATGGCTAGTCGTATCTGGCTAATTCCAAAACATCACTGATCTGAACAAAAAAAGTTAAAAAGAAAGAAAAAAAACAGGAACGCGAGACCCAAGCAATCACAGAAGAATAATGTACGACTATAGCTGAATTACTCCAAAAGAGAGAAAAAATAAGGTAGGAAGAAAGTTAATTAATCTGTAAAATAAACAAATATTAGCACCTCCAAGAACAGACTAAAACACACCATAAAGAAAAGAACTAAACAAACAACTGGTAGGGAAAAAAGTTGTAAGAGATTGATTTGTGCTCGAAAACATTCTAAATATACAACAAATTTAACGGATTTGGCAGCTTAAACAAAAGTTGTTTCTCAAGAATTTAATTTAACACGATCAAAATGAGCGACTTTGAAGTCAGTACTGAAAATGTGACCTAACTTGATATTTTTGGAAACCTATGCTTGGCATATTTAGGAATGAAAACAACAAATGAACGAGCATAAATAGACAACATCTCTGCAGTGTGCGTCTTATTAACAAAAAAAGAAAAAAAAAAAAAAAAAAAAACTTCAGGATAATTATTAAAGCTAAGAACGGCATCATAGGATGTAAAATATAAATAAAAGGTTTGGATCTCCAAAGAGTGAAATCAGAATCAACATAGTCTGCTTACGCTAAAACAGTCATTTTTTTTAGACAAAATTTCAAACTTCCTTTTCATATAGCAGCTTCCAAACGTTTCGAAGAGTAGAAAGGTGTTACGGATGAGAGACCTGAGTGAGAAAACGACTCACAACTTTCGTCAATAACTCCACTATCGAATGAATTAAAACTAAGACGACGTATGGAAGATAAATTTAAAGCTTGCTGGGGTGTGTTGGGTGATGTATTAACGATGCTGTTCGACGTATTGCCTTCTATCTCGGATAAACCCGAATCTCGTTCACGTGGTCCGTCGCTACGACTAATCAACGAATGCTTGTCCAATTCGGCATCAATCCTTACTGCTTCCATTTCCGCACACTCGGCTACTGACTCTTTTACATCTGCCACAAACCGATGTCTAAAAATTCCAGAAAAACCACTGATACAAGAAAGGACTCAAAAGCTATTCCTCATCTTATCCACTTCATGCACGAAAAACAGCATGTTTCTCTCACCTGTCGTCATCATTTTTCGAGTTGAAAAAAATTTCCTGTCCGTCAGGCAGTGTGATCATAATACCATAATCGTAAAAAGAAGTCTCAAACATGCTAACACGTACTCCAAGAAGCATCATCCACGTGCGCAACACGTACTGGCAACATGATTTTCTCTTTGAAGCCATTTTTGCAATCTACAACTGTCGATTTCAGAGAGTTACAACTACCCAAACTTCATTCTTCCGTAAAATGCTTTACTTGAAAATATCTTTTCGAACTATAACAAATGTTTCCTAGAAAAATATCAGCATTAAATTACTAAAAATTCAGATGTTAAAAATTTACCAACAAAAGGTCGTTGAACAAAAAAACTTCGCGTTGATGAGCATTGGATGGTTGTCGCTTGTTACGATCGATAATCTGGTTCAAACGGCAGTAACAAACAAGCCGACGATGTGGTTCGACCAAGTTCTAAAAATTCAGGATGCTGAACATATGCCTAACCAATAAAACTGTGAATATATTAATCAAATTTTAAAACTGAATTATCCAACTTACTGGTTTCTCCTTACCAACCATACTTTGATCAACCACTATAACTTGCGATACATGATCTGACCCAGCGCTAAATGGCGAATCACGAATACGGCGGTAAATCCGAACCAATAGTGATCTTACAAATTGGATAACAAAATGAGAAGTTATATTGAGAAAACAGATTCAAGTTAGGAAAAATAACGTATATTTTGTCAGGCATATGCTTATCTATCAACTTGTTTCAATAAATGAAAATTAATACATAACATCATTAGAAAAGAATCAAAGGGAACCTGTCAATGTCGTATCCTCCATCAATTCCACGTAAATTATTGATGAAATCTCCCACTTTCATTTTCAGTGATGGTTTGATATTAGGCGAATGAAGATCTGTGTTCAGCATAACAATGGCAAATGCCAGGATGAATATTGTGTCACCACTGTGAAAAAGTGTAACCTTGTCGGGATTGCATACGGCATAACGTGCAGAAAACACCTACAATGAGTTATAATGATAATAAATTTTAATGAAATGTACATAAGAAAAAAAAAAAAAAAAAACTACCTCAAACTGTTGGAATTTTCAACAGCAACTGATTACTTTGTTCAATGTATTTGTTGAAGAGCAATACGATGCATCAGAAATGAACAAATTCTCTTCATGAATGGTGATCATGATTGAATCATGTTTTATCTTTTTCATTCACTGTTAACAATATTTTTTAAACAATTTCGCAAAATAAAGAAAAACTGGTTACAAACCTGCATAATTCTCTCGATTTTCTGCGCTTCGCCTGGAAGGCGAAAAAACGAAAGTGTGTGCCTAAGAGCAATATCTAGTTCCATCCCATGTAAATCAATTTGATCAACGAAATGACTAAAAGTGATAATTGAGGGGAAAATAGAAAATGTAAAGTTTGATGATAATTGATATTTTTAAAATCGCTCTACAGCAGGATTTACTTATATCCCTCGGCAATATTTGACAATATCCACTTTAATTCAAGCATATTCAACGCACAAATCAAAAAATTTTGTGACTTCATCTTTCAAATTTAGATCACTTCAACATACTTTTCGAAGCTTTTCGGTTGAAAAAGTCAAGGGGATTACTTACTAAACATCAAAAGATACTGTTAATCATACCTGAGAACAGAGGACTGAAAAGGATTGTGCAAGTGTCCAATGTATTCACCAATCATTTGTTTACTTAAACCCCGACGATGCAATAACAAATTAGCAATAGCGAGAGAACTGTCTTCAACAAAACCCCACTCAATGAGATATTGCACACCACGCGTAGGTTTCCTGTAATTCATATATTTTTCTGTAATACCCTAATTCGAACTTAACAACGAGACATATGCATCCAATATTAATATTTATATATTACTAATATTCTACGAACTAAGCCTCTCTTTCTCCATTTCCTCTCAAAAATTATTTTCAGAGCATAAAACTTACTTATTAAAGAAATTAAGCGCTATTCTGTACTGACGTCTTCTTCGTTGATCTGGTACTGCATGAGCATTCGATGAAATGCTACAAACAAATGCACCTTAGATAGATGAGGAAACTAACAACAATAACTTTTGAGATTTCGCAGTAATAGTCAAAAATTGCAGATATCAGTTCATCTTTCTTCGAGTCATACAAGAAGTTATCTCCGACTGTGAATACTTCCTACAGCTTATTTAGTTGATAAAAGCTCTTACTATTCAGTTTTTGGTATTCAAGAGAACTGATATTGGCGAATTAGTTCAAAACTCTAAAACAAATACCAATTCTAGCTCCATCTTCTGAGGAATTATTTCCCAGAAGTAAAAGAGTACCATGATTATTCAATAATTCTGACAGAAACAAAAATGAATCTTGATCTTCCTAGCAAAAGCAGTTTTTCAATTAAAATCTTGTTTTTTTTTTTTTTTTTTTAGACAAACATTAACCTGACTGCCTGAGATGGTGTTGCATGTTTGTCGAGACGAGGAAGAGAATTTGAATGACTGCTACGTCCGGTAACTGCTGATGAACGGGGAAGCCAAACATGTGATGCTGGATGTGCCATATTTGTCACGATCCTAAATCGAAAAAAAATCGTCTTATATGTCTTTCCTGATTAATTTTCAATTTCATCCTTATCCTTCATAAGAAAAGTTTCTTTAGGAATTATGTAGACAAACCTTCTTTGGGAAAGTCGAGGCGACAAACATTCCACTGCAGAACGATGAAGTGAGTTACTGTCAAATCTGGCGCTTCCAATATTTTCTGCAACCGCCAGCGGTACTTTACAGCCTCGTTCCGGTACAGGTATCTTAATGCGTGAAGATGGATTCTTTGACCTAAAACATGAGCAAGAATTCAGGGAAAAACCTAAATCGGCAGTCGACAACGACGATTGCGAGCCGTTGATGAAAAATTCTATTTATAGTTTGGGAAATATCAAAATTAAAGTACATACGTACCTAACTGGTATAATGGAATGTCGATCAAGACATGCTAGAGCACTAGATGCAACCAAAGATGTATCATGCTTCAGCCTGTCATCATTTTTGGAATACACTGCATTATTTTGGATTGGTAATACGAGATGTTTCCACTGTTTCAATAAACAAGACTGACGAAATGCTCGCTGTATTCGTGTAGCAGCTGTATGAGCGCGCAGACGGCCACCATACCGACGTTCCAACACCTAAAAAAGCTGCAGTAGTGTAGTCGTGACGATGGGATACAATTAAATGAAATATATGCATGCAATAATATGTAAATTCCAACTGTCATGAAATTTTTAGCATGCTAAGGGAAATCTCTCCCTCACCTGGAGCTGCCGACGACAGAGCTCATCCGAAATTTCATAGCTCGTAAGCGCACGAACCGATATGGTTGGACCACGCCACTCGCTCAACATTCATCAACCCAATATTCTAATAATATTTCTTGATAGCAGCGGTAATTCAATTATGATTTAACACAATAAATACATATACATGTGCACTATTCTGCAGCTAAGAATTAAAGAAACTAGTTCATAAGTCTCGAAACTTCATAAGTCTCAAGTTCATCGCTGATAATCTTTTTTAGGATAAAAAAAATGTGGTTCCAAATGCGAACAACTCTAGATTCGAAATACGTAAACGATAATTGATGATCGAAAAAAATAACACCCCACTATTTAATAAACAATAAAAGAATTATGCACTTAACGATAACAGCGAACCTTTATCAATAATTTAGCTGTTACGAATGGAAATCATTTCTATTGATGATGAACCTTGCAAAAATCAATGTAGGCATAACAATAATAGCGAACAAATTTTTGATATAACATGTGACTTAGGATGGAACTCAATCCTCTTTTTTCTTTTGTTTTTGAGGAAATTCTTAATTAAAAAGATTTCATAGATCGATTGCAACCGCTAGATCTATGCTGATGGTAGCAGAAAACCATATGACATTTATTACATGTGTACAGTATCAGCTTCATATGTGTGGTATTTGTTGTATCGGTCTGTTTATCTATCTATCCATCTATCTGTCTGCCTGTCTATTCATCCATCTAGCTATCTATCCATATGTAATACCCAACAAATAAATTTGATAAATGTTGCATATATATTTTCTTTTTGTAAATGCAATAAAAGATTTATATTTATTGAATATATTCAAAAATTTATTCACTATTAATGGGATGTAAATTTGTCATAATGTAAAAATTTACTGCAAAAATTTTTCATATATTTTAAAAAAACAAAAAATTAAATTTTAAATAGTTTGTGAATTATTTGTTTGATTGAAAAAAGAAAACTTCACAAGATTAATTTCTTAAATAATCGTAAATGTTTGTTTAATTTAAAATTACGTAACCGTTTTTACAATACATCAAAAAAAGAAAAAAAGAAAGGGGAAAAAAGGGAGACTACAAAGCTAACAATTATTCGATCAATCATTATGTAAATTAATTGTTGAAATATTGCACCACACCCATTGCCTAACCTATTGATCTTTTCTTTTATCATCGATGTCTAGCTTACACATGTTTTGTCTTCTACTCGTTGTCAAGCATAAAAAGCACTCTCATCAAAGTCTATTCTATTTTAGCTTATGTTTCATGAAAGTATACATGAAATGCTAGAAGTTTTTGCTTAAATTGCTTCCAAAATTTTATTTGGTTTTCCGGTTCCTTTTCTTTTTAATTTATTCACTTAAGTTTAATTTTAAATTCAATTTAAGTTAAATATGTGTTAGGATAAAGAGTAAAATTTATATTTAAACTGTGAAAAAAAGAAAAGAAGGATCCTTTCAGGATTAGTGAAATTTTTTCTGTTCAATGTATTTTTGTATTAAAAAGAATTTTTCTGTTTGGAATTTTTTTTTTGAGGATATTTCTGGACTGGGGATAGCTGAAAAATGATTTTTCTTGATGAGCATAATTCGTTTTTCTTTATTTGTGCGACTTTTTTTTTCATTGCATTTCGTTAACGTTTTTCAATTAATAATAATTCATAATTTTTTCGATTTTCGAAGAAAAAATTGGAAAAACTTCAAGAACATTGGATTCAAGTTTGTTTTTGGTATTGTTTATAGGTTTTAACTGTATTTCTGTGCTAAATAATACACGTTAGTTTCAACAATTTTCAATTTTATCGTTTTATTCAGTATTGAAGTTGTCGTATATGCTTTCGATACAACGACGGTTCTTGAGTCGTTGTGCCGATCTGCTTCGTACAGAAACCGCACGAACCTATTTTGAAGTTATATTCTCTAAACTGAAAGCACTCCAGAAGGATGGGAAGGACGAATCGAGGATTAATAATTCTGCTTTAGTCACACATTTAGAAACCGTAACAACATTGGCTCACAAGTTTTACGATAAATTGGAAATGCTCACTCAGTTAGATATACTTCTGAAAGGTTCGACTATTTCATAAAATTCCATATTCTATGAATATATTCAAAAATAAAAATTTTATTATTTAAAGAGGGAAATGATCCAGAAATCCAAGAAATTGCGAAGTTGGATAGTGAACAATTAACGGAGGAATTGGATAGTGTTGTTAACAAATTAACCGATGTAGTAATACCTGTTACCGAATACGATTTGCTGAACAACTGTCAGTTAGAAATCACTCCGTTGGTCACTACTTAATTATCTTCTTCAAAATTTATTCTTGGAAACATTTTAAGATTTTTATTCTTTCGCTAAAGATTATCTTTTTACGAAAGGACATTACACCTTTCCCGGTTGATAAACAGACTTATATTAGTAAAACTTCAGTTTAAGTCTTAAATTTTATTCTTGCTATGTGCTCGTAATGATTATAAACTTTACTTTTTTTTTATAGAGGTGTAGGTGGTGTTGAAGCATCTTTATTTGCATCCGAATTAGCTCAAATGTACCATAATTATGCGCAATTTATGAAATGGAAGTGGACACCTTATCAAATGGATGTTTCACCGTCGGGTTGAGATTCCAAACATTTACAAGTGAAGCCAAGAAAAGAACATTTCAGATCAGTTTACTTGGTTATACTATACTTAGTAAGTTGATGACGTAGCATACATAGTGTTTTTGCAGGAGGCATACGTAGTGCTGTAGTTTTTGTGCGAGGCAATGGAGCATTTAGAACGCTACGGTATGAAGCCGGTGTTCATCGCGTGCAGAGATTCCCGGTAACGGATAAAACACGCATGCATACAAGTACATCCGTTGTGGCTATCCTTCCGGAACCAGATAAGGTTAGGTTTGTTTCGCATTTTTCATTCGTGATGGATTGCACGATGTCCAGCTTCATTCAGATTTAGTTTTAAATGGTAATGTTTTTATTTTATAAGTCTGAATGTAGAAGGCTATACATATAACATATTTTCAGATAGAGGCTTGCGTGACACCGGCTGATGTGAAGGTAGAAACAATGAGAGCTTCGGGTCCTGGTGGCCAGAACGTCAATCAACGATCCACGGCAGTCCGCTTAACTCATCGTGAAACAGGTGTAACAGTGCATTGTACGGATGAAAGGACGCAATATTCTAATATGGAGGTATGACTTTATACCCCATTCTTCTCCTTTTTTACTCATTCATATTACTAATGGCTCCATGATATAATCGTCATCACGTAAATGCAAGAGAGAATTGAAGTTTTACTTACAATTGTAATTTCTAGTCCGACATTGAAATGTAACTGTCTCGCTTTCTGTATATCATTTAAAGTCCATATATTTTGTTTAGATAGCATACAAACGACTAGCTGCTATACTGTTACAACGGAAACTTGATGAAACACAGAAGCAATACTCATCATCCAGGAAACTACAAGTCAGTTATTACAGAAGTACTAATACTTTATTTGGTATATGAAAATTAAATTAATACATCCCAGTATTGTAAATTTCTGACTACTATATGAATATTTTAGATAGGAACTAAGGCACGAGCCGAAAAAGTGCGAACATACAACTTCAAAGATGATCAAGTCACAGATCATCGTTTGGGTAGAGCTTGGCAAGGTGTTGCAAACGTTATGAAGGGAAATAGTGTCTTAAATCAGATAATTCAATCTCTGGATGAATTGTCCAAAGCTCAGTACTTGAAAGAAGTCTTGAACGCAGGGGATTGTACTGCAAAACACGCTAATTTCTAATGTTTAAGTTCAGAAGACAATAAATATTTACATTTGTTTTTATACAGCACTAAAAATTTTTGCCAAGGTGAATTTAAAGCGCCATCTACGTATTATGGATTATATTTCATTTTATTTCCAAAGGTACAGTAGATGATGGCAAAGCTAAGCAAAAGTAGAACAAATAGTTTTTTTTTTTTTTTTTGCAAATCAGATTTTATAAAATATTGTGAACAAATGGTAATTTAAAGCTGAATCATTGCTTTTTTAGAAACTGACATTCCTACAGATTTGAGTAACTCCTTTTAAAGGTGAGGTTTACTATGAATAAGCGAGGCAACAACAAAACCGGTATTATCATATAATAATTTGCTTACTGAAGGACGAAGCATGAAGTGGTGTAAATAGTGAACTAGAAAATTTGATTCGTTCTCATCAAAAAATCCATGATCAAAAATCTAGGAAGAAGTTCGGAATTTTAAGGAAGTCTCTTAAAGTAGAGTTGGCCCGTTATCCAAAGTTTTTCAGTTGGTAAAATTCTGTTTTAACACTACTGAAATCTGCTAACATTATACTTCAGTATAAGGGGAACATTTTATTTACACTCAACATTACATATCTCCCGTCCATCTCAGTTAGCTTTCCCATATTTTTTCTTCCGATGGAAGATATCATCTGCATATGACTGATTCGGCAATCGCTTAAGCGCTTTATATGGATACTGACCTAGTTGAGGTTGTGGATATTTTGCCATCAACTTATTTATCTGGTACTTGGTCAATGTTGTTCGTCCATCGACTGAACCGTCAAGTACACCCTGAAACATCCAATTCGGAAAATCAAACTACACAAAAAGAATGTGGAACACGAAGCTCGTAAATGATGTGAAAGACTCAAGTGTGAATAAGTCATAATTAGGAATTGGGTGAAACAATTCTACCTTCTTTGCAGCTTCAGCAAGCTCCTTATTTGCTTTATAGGTCCTACTCACGCAATCCATATAATCTCGATTGAAGTCTGCGCAAGGCAAATTATCATGCTCCCATTTTTTTAAGCAATCAAAAAGGGCTTGTAGCTCTTTTGTACAAGTTTCACCTGCAAATATATACATCCCACTTATCTTTGGAAATTTAAAGATCCAATTATATCACTGAAACAGAGCAAGCTTGAAGTAAATTAGTGGGAAAGACAAAAGCATAATCACGAGAGATACAAAAAATTTCGAGAATGAACACAGACTGTTGGAAATATCTTGAGTATTCTCCTGTACTCCTAAAAAGGAAACCCCCCCCGTTCTTTTTTAATTTTTTTGCAATATTACAAATATAAGTAAAAATTAAACCTCGTGGTTTCGTATAATTACTCATTACATAATTCGTAGATTTTAGGGGAAGAAATTCCTTAAATTGCAACTGATCACTCTTTACCAAACTGGTCGTAATTGGTATCTTAAAATGACATTTTGAAAGCGATCCTGTAAATTGCATCGTTCTTCTCTATTTCTCCCTTCCTTTATCAAAATTAAATGAAACTATTGCATTTAACACTGCTGATTACCACGAAATAATCCCTGAAACAGAATAATAATGAGGAGAAAATTATTAAAAAATATACTAAAAAGCAACCCTTAAATAATATTGCAAAATATCCTACAGCAACAAATCACAGATCCCATCAGAACAACACCAATTCAACCCGGTTGGTTTCATGATGGTTTCAGTCAAGGTTGTACAAAATGTTTTAATTAAATTTCATGGTTCAAAACCACAAGACGGATGTATTTTATGACTGTGAGCATTAGCTGGTCTTCGAATATTTGGTGATGCTGTTAGGTTTCCGATTTTTAAATGGTTTTATGAGCGATGTTTAGAAGACATCGGGGAATATAAATTAAAAATGAAACATGGAAATGTCACGTTTTTTTTTTCTTTTTTAATTTTTGCTAAAATTGTTTATTCATTCGGAAAGAAAGAAATTTATCGAACAAAAGCAAAATTAATGTTTTGGAATGCTGAATATTTTTCAGTAATAAGCAATAAATTCGTCGTATCATGTTAATAATGAAACATATTTGCAGATGCCGAAACAGCGTCAAGCTTTTGTTGATCCTAATGCGGAACGAGTTCGAACTCACTTGTTTTTTTCATCCAAAGTTCCACGTAATCCATCAAGACGAAGACGACGTCCTCATAGTAAGTTAGGTAATAATAGTTAGGTAGGTTTAAAATACACTAGATACGTATGAAACTGATGTGGAATATATGACATAGAGTATTATCCTTTCTTTAAGTATATAAAATTTTGGATGAAATTAGGAATTCGGAAATTTTTCTGTAAAGGTTACTCGCATACTCGTAAATTGCAGATAAATTACACCAGCTCTTGCATCGTAAGGATGAAATGGTGCAAACGGCACCAGCCGAATTAGAACCGTCCTTATGGTCCGGTAATCAACGAGTACTTCATTTTGGTCCTATGGCACAACGTGATCCATTCTTCTACTACTATCCAAAAGGATGGGATGTTCTGTATCCGGCACACTTCGGTTTTTTTCCTTATCGGGCAACGTATGGATTTTTTACATTCCTTGTTTACTTTCAACGAATGCGCTTTCCTAAGATGCATTATTTTATGTTGTTGTCTTTTGCTCTAATATCACTGACAAGTAAAGAGAGAGGGAGATTTGGGTGAACTCCTTTCGGAATTGAGGGGTCATATACGAATTTCCTTTTCTCCGGTACTAGGAACTGTTGATCACCGCTTAATAATGATCATCCAAGAAAAGTTTCACGTCAGATTTTAGTAAGCTGTCCGAGAAATTTGGTTTTTTCCACATAGTGGCAGGGAAATTTTCAGTAGAAAAGCTTGCGCAAAGAAGTTGGATCGGTACTGATGTAAAATTTCCAACTCTGTCTTCCTGTCTCTCTCTTTCTCTGGAACGGTAGTTAGGTCTTCTGATTTTGCATGGATATCAATTCTTACATTCCAGAATGCAGTGATTTTGATTAAAGACTACTAAAGATATCGTCTTCATAAATTTCGTTGACGTACTTTTGAACAACTAACTTTTCTAACGCGCCTAACATACTTTATACTGCGAAAGCTACTTCTACTAACATACTTTATAATGCTGCGAAAGCTAACGAAAGTCTTAGGAAATGTTTATTAGATTTCAGATTTTCTCAACGAGTTCCGTGAAATTTGTTCTTCGCATGCTATTGCCGTGATTTCATATGTGACAAATGCAGTTGAACGTCAGTTTTTATTTTTTTTTCCGAATAATTTTAATTCTGAGCGGAATTTCCGACAGAATAAATCTCATTCTTTTCACCTCACTTTTCACTTTCACTTCGCTACCACTTTCTAGGAAATTTCGAGGATCTTCATCCGCTATTTGCATAAGTGCATTTGGCACCTTCTTATCGTTAGGTGGTGCTTTAATGTTGCTTTTGGCACACTTCTCAATGGATGATTCGCCGCTGTTCAATTTGAAATATTATTATCAAAAGCCGATACAATTAGCTGGTTTAATTTTCCTCATTTGTGGTGGTATCTTGGTGTTTGTGTCACTCGTATGTATAATATTTTCGGTTAAGGTTCGTTCGAGGAATCATTTCTGCTCTTATTAAAATTAAAATTTTGAGTATTGTTATTCAAAAGTACTCCTTTTTCGAATGTGGTTTAATTCCACTGTTCTATTTAGATTTTGAGTGCGGACATCAGTACTGAACTTGGACGGCCACGTTACACAATTTTGAAGCAAGCTATAAAGGTTTTTGTTTTCTTCATACTTCGTGCTTCTCTATTAAAGTTTATCTCTTTGCTTTTTGTTTAAAATATAGATAGGGGGAAGTGGTCAGAGAGTGGGTAACATAAATATGTGCATATGCTTAAAAAAGATAGGAACAGTCCTGAACATTTGTAAGAATTTGCAGATTTTGTACTTTAATGTATTTTACATTACTTTTATATGTTTTGTTAATGAAAACATATTTTCCGGAACCCACAGATTTATGGGAGAAATTTAGCTGGCTCATTTACGCTCATATGTTCAATTAATTATGATATTTTAGGAACCGATTGGTGTTTACGAAAAATCTCCTTACCAATCAATGCCACCACCAGCGTATCCAGTTTTGGAAAACAAATACACTCAAATGACAGTGTTCAGTCCGAAATCAGAATTGAAATTATATCCACCGGTGTTAGTCTTATTAAATAACCGAATGTATATCGGTTAGCTGATTATGCCCTGTTCTAGACGTGGGAATGTTAGAAGGGTCAAACAGTGGGGGAATAGTTTTAAAGTGGTCAATAAGTGGATAACATGAATATGTGCAGCACATACGCCTCAATTCACACGCAGACAAGTTGAATTAATCAGTTTCGTAACGGTACGCTGGAGTCCAAGCAAGAGTGAAACTGCAACGTTGACGAAAGGTCGTATAGTTGCATTAATGGGACTGATGGACAAAACAAGTACCACAAGAACTTAACTTGGAAATGGAATTCACCGCTAGTGAGGGAGGATTCTAAAAGATTTGGAAGGAGTGAATGAGGATAAATTCTATCCGATACATTTAAAAGATTCTGCACATTCAATTTGAATTAAGCAATGCAATTCAACAACACGAACATCAGTTCAAGACAGAATTGATAATGGAAGTAAAAGCAAGTGGTGGAATGAAAGTATGACAACTTAGTGAACATTCAGTAGATTGTTGGTGTAATTTAGTACCCACTTAGTTGATTTTTTTCTGTTATACGACAACAGCAAGAAATACTATAAAATAAAAGCTCTCTCAGACGAAGGTATTGTTAGTAAATAGCATTTTCTTTGAAACGTTGATTTAAAAAAGATGAAATCGATAAATGCTATTATTAATTCGTTGTCTTTGTCAACCGGAGATGAATTAGATAGAACGCTTTAGGAGTAGTGTGAACTGGTGTTAAGGCAATGTCACTTTGATAATGATGAAAAACACTTAATCAGATCAATGTCCCGAGCTGTGTGTTGTATTGTACAATCAGATGAATTTGATGATTAAGAAATACAATTTGGTGCAGCATTAAAAATAGTGGTAGATTTTAAGTAATTACGTGATTTAACGTGCTAAAATTACATGTAATCTTTATTTTAAAATTATCTATAATCCTTATTTTATAGAATGCCCGGTTGTTCGACGTTATCGTTGCATGATCGATCATCAAGTTATTATTTTGCTAGTCCATACAATACTTTACGCGCCGTCTCTGCCACAGTGTAATTTTCTGCTTGAAAGTGCAAGGTTTTGCAAATTTATAGAGATTCTTTTCAAACTTCTTGAAATTCGTGAAATGCAAACTTAAAATAAATCTTTTCAGACAAACGGACATGGTAAAGGAAAATCCACGAGCTAATTCGTTAGCAGGTACTCGAAAGCTTTCAAACGATTCTGTGCAAACTTCACGTCGAACAAAAAGCTTAGCTGCTTCGTCAACAAGAACAGAGAAGTCGACACGCTTAATGAAATGAATTTAAGTGCAATGAAAAGAAAAGGACATGAACTCTTGGATTATTTTCTGTGGCTTAGCATTAAATTTAATTATACCTGTTGCGAAATTTGTTTCATTTTATCTTTTATCTCTGCAATGTCTTTGTTTGCATAGTATTGGTGTTAGTATTCGATTAGTTGTAGCTTGGGTCATCATGTAACAGTAATATGTCAGCCATGTAATAACAATATGTCTATCGATTAATTGTTAATCTTATGTAATATTTTGTTCGTATTTTGTGGAGAATTGCTTATAGGTAGGCAAATCACTCTAATGCTTGAGAATTTAGACTTGTCAATGAAAGTGTTTTGTTCTTTGAATAGAGATATCTTAGTATGTTTGCTTGGCAGGAAGTGTAAATAATATCGGAAAGAAATATGTAATATTAGAAAGAAATGCTGTTGAACCTTCCAAGCTTTTTTCGTAATTAGGTTTGGAGGGTTCTGAATTGTTATTTGCTAACTATACGTTGTGTGTTCTTAGTCTGCTTGTAGTTTCTTGAATGCATTGTTGTATGGTACCTAATAATTATCTATATATAATGTGATAGAATGTTTAAATGACATTTTAAAAATCAACGAGGAAAATGATATTATCCATTCGAATTTACAGAGATTTTCGATTCTTCATTCCAAGTATATGTTGAATTAAATCATTAATTCAATTGGTGGATTTCAATAAATATTTCAGTGCGAATGCTGGTAATTTTACAAACAGCAAAACTATTTTCCAGTCGGGTTCCATCATTTATTGGCGCTCAAGTTTCTCGTTTTATTTCATACTTGTACTATCAAATTGAAAAGGATGAGTTGAAATTTGAAGGTCGAACTTTAGATTACCCGTCGTCTACCCAATTTTCCGTTCAACTATTGATGCTGAAGAAGGATTGGGGAAAATTGGTTGTTATACCGAATAGATACTGCAGCTCTACTACGAAAAGCTGATTGGGGCTTGGTCTTTTTTTCTCGAGAATTGATCTCCGGCGATAGATACGGTATCGAAGTGTAATTGTTGCAATTCTTTTGTATTGAATAAAGTAACATTGCGATCAGTATAGAAAATGAATTAAATTCAGGAAACCCCATAATCATAGTAGTGTTATTACGGAAACTTCATCAGGCAGACATAGGAATTAATGTTAGGAGAACAAATGTTATTATGTGGTAAAAGACATAGCAATATGCAACCCTTCATTAATGACGGTGAGTGAATCACGCATTTGCCCTTTCAGGAAATTCATACCCACTATGTTGTCTTGAGTGAATTCATAGCCATTGTGATGTCTTCAGTGAATTTATGAGACAAAATGACCGATTGCGGTAAATTTAATTATTTCTTTGAAAAAAAAAAAAAAAAGCATTTGACATTAATATGTCAAATGTGTAGTATATATTTGAACAATTTATACTGTTATCCTGACATTGACATAGCAGTTCGTAATCAACCATTTTATATCAATTTTCAGCAAATGAAAAAAAGTCAAAAGAAATTCATAAATATATAGTTTATTAATTTTAGGTTCAAAAAATAATAGTCAGTTTTTGGCACCAAGTCAAAGAACTACTCGACAATTTCGCTATTTCAGTATGCAAACCGTGGAATTTGCAGTACCATCCGATTCAACAGATGAACTTTCAACTGTTGAATATTTAGGGGGTGGTTCATTCGGCAACGTTATGTACGTATTTATAATACACTTGTCATTTTATTTGTATTTTAATTTGTGAAAAATATAACTGGAATTTTTCGTAATTCTAATTTAAACTTTTGAGAAAGGAATTTGCAGAAAAATTACAAATTTTATATGTGTCGATGGTCGTCGAACAGTTGTTGCAATCAAAAAATTATATGAACCATTTCGCGATGAAAAAACTGCACTAAGAGTACATAGGTAAGAAATTTAAATCTTAAAATGTTCTTGTCACTCGACATCATTGTCCAGAACAAAGCTTGACATATGTGAATGCTGCGGAATTCGACAGCTGTTCAGTTGAGGGCTAATAAGCCAAAACAGTCTGGTATTATTCTTGGTGAAGTATATATTGTCAAAATCAATTTGGTGCATTTGCATTGAGAGTGATAAGTTATTAATATAAGCTGCTGTAATTTTAAACAGAAAAGAGACAGAAAGAGCAAAGGTACAATATTTCATATGATCTTTCTTAAAAACTGCGAACATTTTTGAGTGGAATTGTCATTCTTTTTCCTTGGAAGAAAAAACATAACTATCCACATCTATTTTTCATATTTCAGGGAAATTCGTCTACTTCAAATGATGGTCCATGAGAATATTGTGAGGCTTTTGGACTTGTATACACCTGATAACTCACTTTCTACTCTTTCCATTGTGTAAGTTTCGTAATAACTTTACTTGAAACTCATTTATTATTCATCTTTAGTGAAAAAATATTGCTATCCAGACAGTGGTAATTATTTAGATAACTTCGGAATTTGCTTCTCAGTATTATATTTTACAAGAAGCCTACAGAGAGTTTAATCTGCCAAATTAGTTATTAAAGATTGGAAATTGTAGAATGAGGTCGATGTGCGGAAGAAATATAAGATGAAAGGAAGATAGTTCTTTAGTATGATAAACTTTTATATCACGAATAAGTTCACCTCTTCACTTTTGCATATTACTTTTTACTGAGCATTCTTCAAACAATCTTTTGCATTTTTTTTTTCATTATCAACGTTGATAGTTATAAAACTTATCCAAATAAACTCATTTAGCTTTGTATGACTAATCCGGAAAATTATATCTTTATATCTGTTTTGTTCAAATTTTTTTTGTATAATATATTAGTGTTGGATAGCATTCCCAACATTTATGCACCTTTTAATCTTTTACTTTAGGTATATTGTGACAGAATACGCTGGTAATAGCTTGTATGAAATTTTGAAACGAGAACGTGAAACAGGATTACGAATCCTTACTCCGGAACATCATAAATTTATTATTTATCAATTGTTGCGTGCATTGAAATACATTCATTCAGCAAATGTAATTTTCTCGGAATTCTTTGGTATTTTTTTTTTTTTCAAAATGTTACCAGCATTTTTAAGAAATTGAAAAAGATAAGCATTATATACTCTATCAAATTTTGTTAAGGTTATGCATCGAGATTTGAAACCGGGTAATTTGGCTCTTACTGATGAGTGTGATTTATCAGTTTTGGATTTTGGTTTAGCTCGTTCATTAAATGCTGACGACACTGTTTTATCTGCATATGTTATAACACGTTGGTATCGTAGTCCGGAAGTTATGTATTGGAAGATATGTTCATACGACACGCAAGGTATGAAATATTCCTTTTCTTATCGTGACATTTAATGTATGAATCTAATATTCGTTTTTTGGTAACGAATCTTTGTCCATAAATTGTACTAAATTTAGTAGATATTTTTTGTAAGAACTAGTGGAGGTATTTTGTTGTAAAAATGAAAAGACGATTCATAGAATAGATCTTATGTAGCTATTTTCGTTAAGTATTATTTTTTGATTAAAAAGAATTTTTCAGCTGATGTGTGGTCAGTAGGTTGTATTCTTGCAGAACTTAGTCTCGGACATCCACTTTTTCCTGGGGAAGATTGTAAGTTTTAATTTTTTATTGTTAAATGTATAGATTTCAGTTCTTACTTCCATCAAGAAATCATTTTTCGAACTTTATTTTCCAAAGTCTAGACTTAAAAAATGTAATAATTCTTATGTTTTATGCAACTTTTTCGCCTGTTTCAGAATACGTCATTTTCAGCTATGGCACAATATCGTCTAATAGCAGAGCTATGTGGAAGTCCGGACCCAGAATTATTAGTTAAATTAGCTTCGAATGAAGCCATTCTTAATGTTATAACGAAACTGGGTGTTTATTCGCGCAAATCTTTTTCAGAATATTTTCCTAAAACCTTCTCCAAACATCTTGTTGATTTTCTAGATCGAATTCTTGTGCTAGATCCCGAGAAAAGGTTGGTGAATTTTATTATTGAATTATATTTTGTTTACCACATATTATGATAGGGTAGTAATTTCTTCAGTTTTTATGCTTTCTTTTTAGGGATTTTTAGATTCAGTTGATAAAAATTTATCATCGATATTTCTTGTTGCTTTTAGAATGACGGTAACGGATGCACTTAGCCATCCTTACTTAGAGGAATATTCAATGCCAGAGGACGAGCCAGTAGCAGATGGGCCTTTCATTCTAGATGAAGGATCAAATGGCCGGACAATTGCAGAATGGAAAGGTAATCATCGATAGTTTAGCCTCATTTGTTGATTCAAAGCAGTAAAATTTCTAATAACTCAAATTTTGTGAGGTGGACTGGATGTCTCGTAAAAAACTGAATATGTAGGGGAAATCCTTAAGTAATAGTGTGCTGACCTGTCATGATTATTTGAAAAACTATTTACTGAACCGATTCAAACGCAAGCGTTACAATTTCTGGTCATTGTCCAAGAAAATCTAGGGTGAATAATACGTCAGATGCTAATGCGAAGTTCGTACTCATTACTTACTTTTTCTTATCATTTTAGCTCTTATATGGCAAGAATTGTTGAATTTTGATCGACGGAAGAAAAACAGTTGTTGATGACATTAATAACACAAATGTACATTATACGATATTTCTGTTCATAAAATATTTCAGTGTTTTTATGTAATTTTCCAAAGCCATATCAAAAAGTAGGGAAAAATCAACTAAGTCGAGAAATACATATTGTAATATTTGCAAACAAATATTTATTAGTTACTGATGAAAATTTCACATCAAATATTAGAATGTCAAAAGTTTGAACACTTAGAGCATATATAATCATAATTCTTGACAAGCACTCCATGATTTTTTTTTTTGACAAAATTTTCAACATTATGAAAATTTGTAAAAGATCAAACTACTTCATGTCTAAAATTCCCACTGTATTTTGTTGCATTTTTAGTTCTAACCTAGACATTATGATTTCATTCTCATGAAACTATTCCTAATATGTAGATCATACATTTGGTATGAGTATTGATTTAATGCAATTTTTCCTGTATGAAATATATGAATCAAATACGTAATACGTAAGAATATTTATCATTTGAAGAATTCTGAATAACTGATCAAGAAATACACGTTGTTTGTTTCCGGTTAGGTGAGCAAAGTGGGAGAGAGAAGGAGAAAGGCAGAGGGGGAAGAAAAAGAAGTAAAGTTCCTATATTGAAGGAGCCTTTCGGAATGCTCAATCAATCTTGTTGAAATAAATAATGATAGCATGTTTATTATATTTTCGTAATAATAGTAATGAAAATAATGAATAGTCACAATAATAAAAGTAAATAAATAAGAAAAATAATTATGGTGATAGTAAGATAACAACAGTAGTAGCAGTAATAGTATGATCGATAGGAAATCAATTAAATCAGTGAATGAACTGAAATGTTAAACATTGAACTGTGCAACAATGGATTTGATGCATAACAATGCAATGGCTTGCTTCAACTACTTTAACCTGTTGCATTGTTATTTTCGATTAGCTTTTTATAAGATCAAAGTTGCGGAAGGAGAGAAAGGGAGAGAGAGCAAAAAAGAAAAAAAAAACAAATAATTATGGAAAGATGGAAAAGAAAGGGGAAGAAGGAAGAAAGATGAGGATGAATTATCGAATATCTCTTAATATATACACTCTGAAATAAGAAATGATAACAAAGCTTTGCTCATTTCTACTAATCTTCATTCTTGCTTCTTCAAACTAACATTTCTTTCTCTTCCTCCTCTTCATCATATTTTGTTAAATGCCGCTGGCATGATTCGCTTAGTCGCTTTCTGCTTGCTTTATTTGATTTTTACAGTGATGCTTTTTTGCCTGATAATATGAATCATTAACAGATTCTTCATATTGATTCTTCAATAGCATTTTTAACCGTAGCTATGTTGATCCTAACTTCATCTAAGCATTATAGTCATG